CAAGAGCAAAAATAAAAAATAAAAACTGAGGAAAAGAAATGCGAAGATGGAGGACAAATGCAGGAGGAGGGAGGGACGGTTTGGATGACAGTAACGGTAGTTAAGACAGATGGGGCAGAGGTTAGAGAGGACAAAACAGGACGGGGAAAAAAACAGACACTGACAGATGAAGGAAGCAGGCGATAGAGAAGAGAATCTGGATGTACATAATGGAGGAGACTGTGAGAACACGGAAGATGGCAGAGACGGCAGAAACCGGAGTCCTATTGATGTGAAACGAAACCCTGTATCGGGGGAGAGCAAACCGGAAGGACAAGCGAAGGGAGGAAAATAGGGGAGGAGAAAAGGAGAGGAGCCATGTGGTTGGAGGGGAGGATGCTAGGGTGAATTAGTGGAGGATGGGATGTAAAAAGGGCCATAATGTAATTTGTTAAATAATGCAAGGAAGGAGCACAAGAGGCAGGAAGTGTGATGGAGACGGATCGCTGCCAAAAGAAAGGTGAGGAGGCTGGGAAGATGGTGGGATTACTAGTTGTGGACAAAGAGCAATGAGTGGGTGAGGAGAGAAATACATAAGACGACAAAGGTAGACCTCATCAACCTAAAAATAATTATGCAGGAACAATGGGCACTTAAAAGAGGAACTCAGTTTTCACTCTGTTCCATAATAATGACCATTTGCCAGCTTTTAGTTTAAAGAATAAAAGGTTAAGTAACTTAAAATGTAAAAAATTAACATGAGTTAAAATACAGAATTTCTAAACCTTAAACATCTACAAAATATTACACATTTGTAGAATTGAAGAAGGACAGATGATTCCTAAAGAAACAAATAAATCTCATTATTATAACAATTCATTGCAGTCATTATCACCAGTCCACTTCTGAAATCCCAATACTATTCAATGATGAAACATACATTGCTCAGAAGAAACGTGGTTATCCAAACTTGAGATGGTCAAATGTAACACATTTTGTTCCAAAAAGGGGGGGAAAAAAAGATTCAACGGCTTTCTGTGCACTTCTTCTGTCCAAATAGGTGGGCCCATTCCCACCAATTTGGGACAAAGAAGAGCAAAGAAAATCTACTAATCTTTGCACTCTGGCACGCCCTATCAACATGCCACCCTGGGCAAAAAGCCATATTCCTCTCGGTATGTAACAGACACGATGTAATGCATAAAATGCAAGATTTGTACTTGGCATCTCAAAGTACTCATATTATAGGTTTTGATTTGACTAGTATGTGTGTCAATATACAGAGTAAAGATGGAAATTGGCCATAATCAACTTATTATTTACTTATTATTCCTGCAGCTGCATTTTAGTGATTATTATGTAATATTGCATTTTTCCAATAAAAAGTAGAAATGATTTAGAATTTTATTAGGAAAAATGATGTAAAGATATGAATGACTTCCATTTTACATCTTCTTACTCTTAGAATGCCCGCCCAAGAGAAAAAAAAAAACAGTTAACCGTAGGAACTGAAATATTGCTTCATCAGAAACTATTATTTATATATTACTTTATTCATCTTAAAGTCTTATTGCTACTGACAAATTTAATGTGTGACATTGCCTAATCGTGCAGTAAAATAAATGATCAAAATTAGGTGTAATATGTCCAATCAAACCAGATCCTGCCCCTCAGAATGGCTGGCAGTTTTGCAGCAGAGCTGAGAAAAACTAAAACCTGCAACACATTTGGCCTCAACATGAGTCCAGACACTCCAACCTGCAGTCCTCTAAAACAGCAGGAGCTGCCCATTCAGGATGTAAAGCATGCTGAGCGTGATCCTCCAAAATGGCCGACAGTTTCACCACAATATGTATGAGAGACATGGAAACGGTGACGCTCTTGCTGCCTCCTGAAGCCACGCTAACCCAGGGTGCTCTAAAGCAGCAGGGGCCCCCTGTCTATTCAGCAACAGCTCCCTCTTTTGTGTCGGCGCAGGGCTGCTGCCGTTACCTCCGATGTGACGCGCTGCTAACGTTTTAATGACTCATTTTTATTCAGGTGATAAGGTCAGACACCCGCAGAGGCTTAAAAGACCCCCGAGTGACAAATATAAGCAGTGGCGAGGAAAGGGAGGAGGCAGGTGGTACGATGGGGAAACGGCAAATAAATGAAGGCGTGCAAGATAAAATAAAGAGAGAAAAAAAATTTTTGGGGCTATAAAGAACAAAAACAAAGACTGACATATTTCAAAGTTGCCTCTTATCAGTCTGTCTCCATGTCTGCTGTATGGAAAAGCTCCAAAACAGAATGCCATCTGTCAGCGTTTTCTTTTTCCTCGTAGTTGCTTTCTTTCTTTCGGCATCAGACTTGTTGAGAATAGCCAAGAGACAAACTCAAATCTCTGCTGCTGACTGATGGAGGGATTTGTGGTGCAAAAAAAGTTGGGGTCAACAAAGAAAAGAATAAAATGCATGGCTTCTTATTTCCAAGAAAGCTTTTTATCTCCCCATGCACTCTCTAGTTCAGGTTTTTTGCACACCTAAACACACTAAAACCCCTCCTTTCCAACAGTGAAAGCAGCGGGATCCCACCTGGAGACAGATTCCAGAGCATGTAAGCAATTTCAAATATTAAAACGTGTGCTCACAGGAACTAAAACAGGAGTTTAATAAGTCTTTTCCCTGGATAGGCTGAAACTGTCCAAGCTGGAAAGGATTAGACCACATGTTTCTGGTCCGCTGCATAGAGACAGATCTGCAGGTCGACGAGAAAACGCAAAAGAATATTTGAAATACTTTGTGCTAAGTGGTTTAGATTTTTCCCCCCTCGCCACAAACAGGGGGAGTGTTTTCACGCTCGTTGGAAACCTACCTCATAGTGATGATTTTAGACTGTTTTATAATACGTCAGAAGATTTTAGACCTCAGCAAGAGTGCAACTGCTGCTCACAGATTGAATCACTTCCGAGGACAGAGCAGATCATGACGGCCTCTAGTCTGATACAGACTGGCTATAAATAAGGTCACCAAGGCTTCTTGTTGGGCTCTGTGCAGCAGGTTTCTTTGATGAACATGCCAGCTAATTGCAAGAAGCTTCCTGTTCTGCCAGTGTGCATTTTGGTGCTGGTCATTTTCTTTCTTCAACTGTCATTTCATGTCGCAATAGGTTTAATCATGTGCCAATAATTTTCACTTTATAAAGTAAATTAAAGTGATTCTCTGTTGAATGTTGGTTAATATGAAAAACCAAACAGAGCTGAATTCTAAGCCGTTTCTCAATATGTGTACTTGTGCGTTCTCATGTGCCTGGTGCTCGTGAAACGTCATCAGCCTCAGCCCTAGTACTGTTCCAATTCACAACAGCAACAGATCAAGAACGGACAAAGTCCCCGGATGTTGTTCTCGCCCCTCCCTATTTACCCAGCATGCATCAGAGCAGACTTGTCCGTTCTTGAGATTGACGGCTGTCCCAGCATGCACTGCGGCAGCAGCGGCTTTCAATGAAGTGCTCCATTGAAAATTAAAAAGTTCTCTTTTCTGTTGCTCAATAAAAGTATGTTTTAAAATCATTTGAGGCGAAAACCATATACTTTTAAGCGTCACCATATGGCCCATTTATGGATTTAATGCATGATTTAAAAAAACCATTTCCGAAGTTGAGAGGACCGCGGCTACCAGCGGACCTCTGAGGGTAACGGCAGCCAGGTCTAATCCGAGCCCATCTGCAGCAGCCCTCTCCCGGCATAGCAGACTGGCTCTGATGGTGATTTTTTTAGTTTTTTTATTTGGCAAAATGTTCGTTTGATTTGTGTTTATCTGACTGTGACCCCACAAAATGAAAAAACTCAGAATGCATCATCATCTAGAGACTATTAATAACAGGAGGTGAAATGCAGCTTCAGAGTATGCAAGCGTGTGGTGACGTCATGAGTACGCTTCTGTTCCCACTGACCCATATTTACGCTGCGTTCTCCCCGAGTCCACACTTTCCTGGGTTCTTCTCAAGAACCTACTAGGCGAGGACACGAGTCCATACTCGGGTTCATGTAAATAAAAAAAAAACAGCCCTAGTTTCTCCTGGATTACAGACTAGCTGGCTAAGTTCAGTAGCAAAGTCAGCAGCCAAAGCAAACTGGAAAAGTAACACATCAAAATCTTAAAGAAATGCTTCAACTACACAACTTCAATCAGAAGCAATTATTGGAAATGCATATTAGTAGTTGTCAGAGAAAAATCCATTGTTGGAGTCCCTGAGGACATTGATTTAACAAAACTTACTTAGAGGACAGTTCAACGGGTATTTCTGCTTTAGCTTCCCCACCGAGCACAGTCTGCTAATCATTTCCAACATTCTCATGTATTTATCATAAAAGAAGGTGTTTTTTTAATTCCTGACAGACTACATTATTAAACTGGGAGGATAATGAGACAAAATATTTTTGTACTTGTAAGTACATGTTGAATCCATGGTGGTAGAATGGAATGCTAGAAGAGCCTGAAAAGCTGGGAAGCTTTCAATACTAAATAAAGGTATGTTGGTTGGGAAGCTTGTCTATAAAACAATCCACTTTCAAGCAATTTTACATCAGATTGGATAAATTATGAATGTAAGCTTTTTACTTTGTAATAAACTATTAAAGGACAGTAAAGAGATATGTTTAACTATTTGATTCAATTCATATCTTGTTTAAGAACTACAGCTTCAGATATTTATTAACTGGCTTAAGAGGGGATCATTAATCACAATTTAATGTGATTAAATTAATAACTTAAAAGAAAAGTCTATCAAATTGCCAGAATAGGATTTAAAATATATATAATTTTCCTAATAATTGGCGTTATAACAATGATTATACGTTTATAAATTATATTTTCTAGATTGCTTCATCAAAACGTTAATTCATTAAAAAAAAGTAAGCTGGTATACAACTAAGCAAATTGTTACAAACTGGTTTGTTTACCACTATAAAAATATTTGTCTGCATCCATCTAAATAAATGGTCCCCTAAGAAACCCTTCCATTGACAGCTCTGAACTCACCATTGGAGTTGGTGGTTCCATCGCCATCCAGCTGCCGTTTCTGTGCAGTCCTAAATTCCTTCAGGGAGAGGTAAAGCACCTTTCGCATCATCCGTTCCTCCGACCACGGGATGCCATCACTGTCATCCTGTGAAGAGAAAAAAGAAAAAAAAGGTCAGTATGAATCATTTAAATACAAACAATATTAAAGTCCCCCTTTCATTTTTTTCTCAGGTTACAAAATCATTACCACATGTAGAATTTGAATCATTCTGTTCAAATTTTAGAATTTCTGCTTTCTATTGTCCTGTTACTGCCCTACAGGGAAAAACTGAAAGTCAGGAAATGCTTGCAGGGCGAGTGAGACTTTAACGAAATAACCCCGACTGCATTGATTCATCTCCACGCCAAGACATGCACACTGAAATGTAGCTCCTATACACTCTGTAAACAATATAATGAGACAGGGAAAAAATATTTGCTTACAAGCACTGCAGCTAGTTTGCAGCTGTGTGAAAATTACATTATGCATCAGGCTGCCAAGAAAGGGATAAAATACGGGACAAATAACACGGTCATATAGGAGCTATTATAAAAGATTTAGACAAGGTTAAAATACAAAGTTTGAGTATAAACAAAAATGCCTTTAAATATTGTTCCTCATCTCTGATGCATGTTGGTTCATGAGCATATCAAGACACAGCGTGCATTTCAATAAAGACTAAAGAATGATAATATGATTGCTGCATGCTTGCAAAAAAAGCAGTTCAGAAACAACTATAAAAATGTATAATACCATATTACAGGCATCACATTTTTTATCCCTCAGTTCCTAAGTTTATAAAATGCAACAAATTATAAAAAACAAAACAAAAAAAAACCTCATTTATTGAGCTTTAACAGCTCATTTAAAAACCATCCAGACGGAGAGAGCTAAGCTACAAAAGGGTCTTCAAAACGCATCAAATAACAATCACAATATTTCTAGCTCCCCTTTACCATTTACTTTCTTTTCAATGACTCTGATCTGTTTGATGTTTAACAACACTAATGACAAAAGGAAATTGGATTCGGACCCAGGCTACAGAAAGTTATTAGGGGGGTAATTGAGACTGCAAGCAGATTTCCCTGAGATGAAATGGAGTAAGAGGATTGTTGGGTGAGATTGAGAACAGAAAGCAACTGGAGAGCAAACAAATGTAGTTCACTTGAAAATCCTCAAATATTTTTGATCATGCCCACTTATCTCTGCAAACGCATCATCTTCAGTGCAAGCCAAATAATGCAAGAGGCAGATCTGAAGACAACAGCACTCTGGATGCACAGCTGACTCCAATCTCTGGTCGGTTCAGCAAAAATGCTCTCAGATACCAGCAATGATTGCATGAAGTCAAATTAGAGCTGAAACAATCAGATTGATCGTGTTTATTGAAATAATCGTCAACTAATTCAGTATTCGATTAAATCATTAACCAGAGTTTAGAGAATAAAACATGCCTTTAGCTGCTAGAGCAACCCCCTTTGGTGCGGTATTACATCAAAATTGCAAGTTATATATACATATAATCATTTTACATTAGAGATATAGACCTCAGTCCATATGCTCCATCCAGAACTCCTCAAGTGGAAAAGATTTAGTCTCACCTGGTTTTATTTCATAGAATCTTTGGCTATCCGAGTACTTATAAATTGAAAAAATTATTGACAGATTACTCGATTAGCAAAAAAATCGTTAGTTGCAGCCTTAATTCAAATGAAATCCTGCTGCTACTTTTATTAAAACATGAAGGATCACAGAAACAAAAAAGTTTAGTCGCACCAAAGCCACCAACTTGGAATTTATTCCATTTCTGGTTTATTTGATACACCAACGTAAAATACTGTGTGCTTGTAGAGTAGAAAATAATACTTCTCAACATCTATTTAATAAATAATAATCTTTCAAAGATGGTATGATTCACTATTCAATCAATGCTTTCCCTTTTTACTGCAATAAAAGCATTTTTTTAGCTTGAGGTCTGGACTTTGACTAGACCTCAATATCCCCTGGTTTGAAACAGGTATGCCCTAAGTCGGTCCTGTAGGGCCGCTGTCCTGCAGGTTTTAAAGGTGCCCCTGCTCAAGCAAAGCTTATTTTCATTGATAGCTGATTAACAGGTTTTTGCTGAACTGCAATCATCAGAATCAGCTAAAGCAGAGAAACCGTATCCCAACAGCTCTCAATGTAAATTTAGGATTTTTTTTTCTTCCAATTTCTCTCCAGCCAAGTGTAAAGTGTTTTCCAGTACTTAGCTGCTCAGATCAGCCGCCCTTTTAAGGAGAAGCATTCCAGTGCGCAATATTGTGGGATCCTTAGATAGTATTTTATGGCAGCCAAGGAAGCTGAATGAAAGCACTAAAAACTTGTAGGATACTTAAATAAAAAAATGACAAAAATGAGAATGACAACAAAAGCCACACTGCCACCAATATGGACGTCACCAAAGCACCTTTCCGGTAGTGCTGCTGATAGTCTATTCAGACTCAAAAACCTGATCAGTTCAGACAAGTCGCTGCTAATTATAGCAGCTTCGCCACAGGGTGTGTACAAACGTGTCAGCGGGTTTGACACATAAATGATGTCTGTGGGGGTTGTTGTGTCAGAATGCGGATGGATGACAAATATGATGGAACATCAGTTAATAAGGGTTTCTGTCAATATATACTGAGCAAGTATTTAATTCCAGAGTGAATAGTTTTATGTAGTGTAAGGCTGCATTACATTAGGAAAAAAAAGTATTGATTATGATTAAAACAAATCTTCTCCGTGTTTACATTCCCCATCACTGTTCCCTAGCTTTCTGATCTTGTTGCCAAGATCTATGTTAGCTGCAGATTAGATAATGGATAATGAAAGTAGTGCTTCGTAATATAATCACCAATTTATCAATATTACAATATGACTCATCACAAAACAACTTCCTGAACTCCAATACAAAGTGGCTAATTTTTGAAGCACCATGTTGTCTGGCTCTCTCTGTTCCCCGAAATAAATCTGATCATATTTGCTTAAGGGCACTAAAGCACTCAAGACAGGAAACGGCTGATGTTTCAGATGTCTGACAGAAGCAAGTTTTTTAATAAAACCTCCCATCTGGGTCGGATGTTTGAAGTGAACTCAAGGCAGACACACTTCAGCAAGGTTCCATTATTATTTTAAATAGCACAAGTATCTATATCACCACATTATTGCATTCTTTTCTCAATATCATATCATAAGACCTGGACCTGATTGTGGCGGCCATGTCTGCCTGAATACAAACTCCCAGGATCCAAAAGGACACAAAATGGCAAAAGCACTCACCACAGTGATGCTTCTTAGCCTCCAACAAAGACAAAAAAGGGGTACGTTTTGTGCTTAATATGCGGCCTCTTAAAGTGCCGCTGTTGGCGAGTGTGCGTGCACACATGCTCACTAGCAAGGGAGGCAGAGCAAGACTTCAATTATGCCATTTCCCCCTGTAGTTAATGTCATCTAATCCATTCTTTGTGTGTGCAAAAGCCTGCCAGGTAGGCACCAATTACCCAGACAGCTCACTAGCACTTCTTCTCTCATGCAGACAGACACACACACACACACCCCGACAGTAGATCTCTTGGTTTTCTAACAGCGGCATACAGATGAATATAGAAGAAGAAAGAAAAAGTCGATAGATTGACCTAAAAGTTTTTCTAGGTCTCTTTTTTTTTCTCTCACAAACTCTGTGGTTTCCTCACAGCTGTTGGCAGACGGCCACAGATATTTCTGCACTGTAACACACGGCAAAGAGTGGTGGATAAAAACTAAAGGGAAAAAATAAGAAAAAAAAACAGTAGCAGCTTCTGTACTCTGATACTCTCCTTTAAAAACCAACAAAAGACTGTTCAAAGTTGTCCAACTTGTGAAGGGCAAGTGTTTTCTCAAGGAATTCCTCTAATTCTTTAGTCTAAACCATGACATCAAGTTTAGGTCATTGATTAAAGAGAAAACACACCTTCATGAAGACAGTAGGGCAGGACTGAAGAAGGCAAGCACCTAGATGAGTGAGTAATGGCGTAAAAACGTGTTGCACCTCACTTTTCCAGTTAAATGATGCCAGATTTCCTTTTGCACAAAGTTTTTACAGCGAATGCCACCTGGCCGTGACACGCATCTACACCCTGAGCCAGCTCCCACAAGGTGACGAGATTTCAACTAATGGGTGCCGGGATCTTTGTGGCTCGCCAACCCGCAACCGGGAGGCGCCTCAGGAACGCTGTGAACTTTTGCAGTCGCTCTGCAAACTTGAAACCAAAATTCTTTGAAACACACAGGGAAGCTGTAAAAAGCAGCTGTTTTACAGAGATGGCATGTAGAATTTTAGGACATAAAGTCTTGAAGATTGAGCAAAGATTGCGGACAAAATGTGGGAATATCCATGTATGGAAATCTGGCTGCTTACACTGTGACCAGAGTGATTCCTTTCACTGTAGGACCATCCGGATCCATCTGTTTGACTGGAACTAGTTGGATCAATATCATGTAGTCACATTCACTGCTCCTTTGGGGTGCCATCATAAAAAAACAACAACAAAAAAATACCTAGTAAGAATTAGAGGGGGAAAAATTCTAAGATAGGGGTTTTTATGGTTAGTGCTGCAGCTGAAAATCCCAGTACACATGAAATGAACACCTGATTTTCTTTGGTGTAAGGAGAAGGACAATTGAGACAGCTAAAAAGCTAATTATGATGGTCTGAAAGGCTAAAACCACTGTTTACTGAAGCTGCGTGACAGTAGAGCTGCTTGGCAAGTTTATACCTTCTGAAGACTTAAGATTTAATACATCAAACACTAAGACAACAATACCAGTGACCACAAAAACTCGAAGCAATGTTGTGCCAATATTTTCTTCATTAAATATCAAATTTCTCTGAAATGAAAGTGCTCTGTGCCTTTAAGGGGATCCCATAGCCTGTGTGTTGTGTTCCAAACCTGCGTGCTGCAGAAACACCCAACAGCACCATATGGTACCGCAAATATAAACCCTATGATCTCACAGCAGCATTTCCTCCAGACATGTTTTGTCATTTATACATACAAAATTAGTGACAATCACCGAAAAATAGTATTTCCATATTTGGCCAAGAC